TGAACTCAACTATTTTTCTCAGAGGTTATCAACACAACACACATGCACACTAATATTCATCTGACTAAACTACACAACATTGGGTTTGCAAACTGTTAAGGAAATATAAGGTTTGAAAAAAATAGTGCCAAACCATTTATTTGTCTGAAGAAGCACTTAAGATAAATACCACCCAATAGCCTCCACCATTGGAAAGCAACAGAGTAAGAATATACTGAAATGTGTGGGAACGTCTGTGTGTAGATGATACAAGACACTGACTACAATATAGCAAAATCTCTATCAAAAAGCAGGTAGGATGCACAGGAAAGTCTATGTGTACCTTTGAAAGACCTAAAAATACCAGACAATCTGAGGTGAAGAACAGGTTGTAATTTCAGAGCTCACTATTTCTTAGCCATTACTGTCAAATGCATCACAATCTGTTATGAAAGCTTTTAAGGCAAAGGGGAAAAGAAAGACATATGAACATAGATTCCTATTTAGGTGAGGGGGAAAAATACTGTGCACTAGGAATTCCACTACAGAAATTTGTCAGAGAAACTTGTCTCCTAAAAATTAATTACAGAAGATAGGATGAGTAAAAGTGCTTCAGCACTGCAACCTTCTATGGCTTCCACATCTGACCCAGCACCATAAAAATCAAACACGCACCAAAGAAACCATCTGCTTTTTAAATATCAAAAAGTTTCATATGGGTCAAAGATGTTCTAGCAGAGTGCAAGTAATCTGGAGAAAGAAGATCTAAAACCTGGCGGCCCAACCCCCCAAAATACTGTTCACCAAATACAGAGGCATTCCAAGTTTGCCTTCATGTTGTAAAATTAAGGGGATTCAGAGGATTCAAGAATGTCTTTGCCAACAAGACATTCTTACTGCCACTCCTTGGTATGGCTATTTTAATGTCTTCTATGATGTTGAAAGAAAGTGGAAAGCTTTACTTCTTGTTTCTATCCTCTGGTTTGGCTTTGTAGTGATACTGTGAATTGATCTTGTGTCTGTAATCAGATGAAACATGGTGTGGCTTCAGGAAGCCTTAACCTAAACCTTAGTCAGAGGCTGAGAAATGTTTCAGAAGAAGTAAAATGACTTGGCTCTGTCCCTATTAAGGCTGTACTTCAGAATTCCCCCTCCCCTTTATTATATTGTATATCTTACTACGTTATATTGTTTCAATACTATGTTATTTATACAGCATTAATTAAAGTTATTGAGATTTTATTGGTTGGATAACTTACAGTATTAAATACAAAGAAAAAAGAAACAAATATTCTGTCAGTATTATTACAGTTTAAGATATCACAATCACAAGCATAGACAGCCAGTTTGGTGTAGTGGTTAAGGCCTCAGGCTAGAAACTGTGAGTTCTGGTCCTGCCTTAGCATGAAGCCAGCCGGGTGACTTTGGGCCAGTCCCTCTTTCTCAGCCCTGGGAAGGAGGCAATGGCAAACAGCTTCTGAAACCTTGCCAAGAAAACTGCTGGGACTTGTCCAGGCAGTCGCCAAGAGTCCATGCTGACTTGAAGGCGTGCATACACACACACACACACACACAC